CCACATCACTTCTCCCTCTCCCGAAACAACCTCGGAGACATGGCACCGTAAGATAAACGCTGTGTCAGGGAGGGCTCACTCGAACATTTACAACTTCATCGACCTGCAAAAGGGATGATCCTTGAGAAGGATATCGCTGCAGCAGCTTGCAAATGGTGGTGCCGTGCGGGTTAGGTGAACGCCGCGAACTATCACAATTGGAGTGCCGCCTTTCTGATGGCGCGATTTTCCTCGACTTCCTCAACCAAGGCGACTGCATTTTGTGGTTTATGATTTTCGGCTGTGTACGCGACGGTTCTGTGTTTGAATTTGTAAAAGAATGAAGTCGCAATCATATGCCCGTCAGCCTGTCTGATTTATCACTTTTAAGAAGTATCCCGTTCACTATAAGGAAGTTTTAGAATAACGTACATAAGCGCTTTGGGTAACCTAAAAGTAGCATCGCGATATAAAAACTTAGGCAACGCTAATTTTTGCTTACTCAAAGTGCTTGCCTGCGTTACTCTAAGTCTTCATTAGGTGCTTTCGCAGACCGCGTTTCCCCTTTTGCTAAGCCCTCCGCAATGAAGAAGCCGCCACTGCACCTGCGCGCCGATGGCCTTGCAAGGCCATCGGCGTGCAGGCGCAGTAGCGGCTTCTTCAGAACTTTACAGTCATGACTGTAGAGTTCTCGGTATCGTAGCGGGTTGCGAAGGAGCGTCGCGTGACTTCGAAAACGGTCTACGAAAGCTCCCTGTTATTAGGGAGTTTTAGCAGGTCGTTTCCACACGAACGGTTCGCCCTCGAACGCATCCGCGACGCCACTGCGCATGCGCGCGCGAGTCGTTCGGCGAGTCGGGAGGCTCTTCTCGCTCGTTTCTCCCATTCCGGCCGCTGGAGTCGTCACCGCAACGCAGCCAGCACCGTTCACGACTCGGGTAAAAAAAGATGGCGGTCGGTTCGGCGACCGCCTTTGCCGACCCAGCCGAGCGTTAGGCTTAGGATAGCGGGAGGCGATTTGCCGTCCTGTTAGCCTGTTTCATCTGAGAGGTTAAACCAAATCATTTCGAGGACTGCTCACCATGGTAAGGGATCGTGAATGCTGTAAACTGCGCATGCTAGTAAATTTTTGCGATGTGCGGCAGACTAGCTGCCGTGGCGACCGCGAGCAGACGAAATGATTTGGTTCGACGGCACACAACGTGAACGATCGTTCAACTTCAAGATGACAGAGACACACCACATACCTTTACGGTCGTTCAGACACTTTTTACTCTATCTAGCTTCGCAGTTCTTCAAATTCCGACCGGCAAATGTTACATCGGCCGTCTTGTTTACATCAGTCGTACGCCGGAAAGAGCTGCCACCACGGTGTCCGCCACCGTCCCCACGGATTTACACGTTGCAGAATGTTTCACATGCTTACTAGAAGATGGCGCCACCGTTAAGCCCTATCATCATCATCGTTTACACGGTCGCGCCACTTTCACGATTCGCTAAAGTATGTCAAATTTGGCGTACGGTTTCACGGAACGGACCAGCTGTACCGTTCGTGATTTCGGAACCGTGCGTTTGAAAAACGACTCGCTAAAACTCCCTATTGTACAGAGCGCGAAACCGTTAGCGCGAACAAGTGATTGTTGGTTTTAGCTGTTTGTCTACAAAAAAAAAAAATCAGAAGACTGCCATCAATATTACTAGTGTGTTTGAAAGTGCTCATCTGGGCCACTAACCTAAGCGGTAAAATGTGATACCTTCTAATACCATTTTGAAGTAAAATTCGAAAAATCGCCAAGATCGTGTTCGTGGTAACGTTGTCGCGCAGTGTACATAGTCCATTTCGTAATTACAGATTTTGGGGACCATCTTGAAAGAAATATTTTAAGTGCTTCAAGTAGAAATATATTTCCTTGAAGCTTGTCTGAAAGTTTTGCATATTTTAATAATACGTTTACTACAAAAATATTTCTCAACATAACCGAATTGCTCGCCTGCACCTTTGTATTAATTGCATTAACATGATTTCGGGACATATTCTTAAGCAGAAAAACTGCGCAAACCAGGATTAGAAGGATGGACACTTTCCGCAAAGAGGTTGAGGTGCGCGGGGTTTTATACCAATTAACGGGTTCAAACGGGACGAATTCAAACGTAAAATATGTCTTGGCTACGGCGGGTTCAAATATGAAGGGCGTTTCGGGAACGGGTTGAAACGGGACAGGTTCAAACGGGAAGGTTGTTTCGGGAATGGGTCGAAACGGGACGGGTTCAAACGGGAAGGTCGTTTCGGGCATGGGTCAAAACGGGACGGGTTCAAACGGGAATGGGTTGTTTCGGGCTACACCCAGCCTGAGACTACTCACCTCGATGGATGGATGGATGGATGAATACGGCTGAGCCCTTTGGATCGGGCGGTAGCTTACGCCACCTAGCCATTTTGTTTTTACCATTTAAGCTTAGAATATTTAAATGTGAAATCTATATTCACTCCGCAGTGCAAAGAAAGTGAGGCTATGAAACCCCCTTGCCATCAGTGAATAAGAAAATACCTAGTTTTCTCTCGATTTCTGCCACCATTCACTTAATCTTTGCTTGGTAATCGCTACTGTCTTGAAATCCACTCTCCCTTCGCTGTCTCTAAAACCCAATGACTTTATTAAATCTATGTTGTCTTCGGTAGGCATAGGGTGAAGCCTATTACAGTAGAGTATCAAGTGCTCAACCGTCTCGTCCTCCTCTCCACAAGCAGTGCACACTGTATCCATTTCCTGGTACTTCACTCTGTATGTTCCGGTTCGTAGAACACCCGTCCTCGCCTCAAACAACAATGAGCTTCCCCTAGAATTGTCATAAATGCTTTCTTTGGCAATAACGGTTTTGTTATTGCCTCGAGATCGAACCGTGTCGCCACCTTGCGGCCAAAATCGGAAACACGAGAAAGCGGGGATACCGCCGCGCGTCGTCTGCTACGGGCGCACGTTCAGAAGCGTGGATTTCGACGATGCAAGCCCGTTTCCGGTTGAGCAGGGCCCTCCTTATAAATGCTTGTCGTTTCGTCTTAGTAAAGGTTGTGTTGTATCGTTTCACTCGCTTGGAAATTCAGCAAAGCGATTAATATTACATTGGATCCTTCCACAATATCTTAGTGTTGTGGATTGTAGAACCGCTGGTCCCACATATTTTTATTATCTCGCACAATCCAAAGCTTTAATAAAACACTGAATGTTGATTAGAGCTATGAGTTGATTAAAAAATTAACCCGAATGATCGCCACACTTTTTGATAGACTAATCAGTCGATGCATCTGTTAATTGACTTTTCTCGAGTCATATTGCATGAAAGGCGTCAAAACTACAATTTGTTTACCACATTCACTATGTCATTAATGCCATATTGCAGTCCCATTTCAAACTTCAAGTTGTGACGCCCACGGCAATATGAACACGAGACGCCTTTTAAAGTGGAGTAGTTTTTAAGTAATTATTTAAACAATAAATTCTTCCTCGATGGCAACCACAAGCATGCTGAAGTAGTTTATGCTAAAGAAATAAAGACGCGAGAAATATTAAAGCAGGCATTTTTTTACTTTTTTTTTTTCGCCCGACTTTCTACAGCAGAACATTTGATTAATCAGCAAGAAAATTAAAGCAAAAAAAGCTTCACTCGAATAATCTGAAGGTTTCGATATGCGTTAGGTTAGGGGAGAGGGTCATCGGAAAGTCTCGTTGAGAGTGGCTAGCCCTTATCAGTATAATAGTGTCTCTGCGGCCGATGCTGTTTGTGTCCTGGTGCGGGTCGTTGGTTGGAGTTTCAGGGTCTAGTACGGTTGAATAGAAGATTATTTAGCCAGAAATGTATAATATTAGCCTCTTCATATCAGCGGCCCTCCCCGAGAAAATTGAAGCGTGTGGCCTCACGCAACCGAGAAGAGCGTCTAATAACACGCACGCTGCTGCGTTGCTCGGTTCCTCTCGTTTATTGCAATCGCGGCAGATATATTAGAACAGTTCGTTTCACTTGTTTCTGTTGTCCTGCCAACGTGCAGTTTGCGGATTGTAACTAGAAGAGGCACTCTCTCATCATCGCAACCTAGTGAAATTGTTCTGACTCAAAAAAAAACGTACCCACACAATGGCACAGTAAAAGGAAATATTTGATGCAGCGGAACTCAATAGCACGGTAATGTACATCACTAACTTCTCTCAATACAGAATGTTTATATTACTTCAAAAACTAAAAGCTACGAAAAACAAAATGCATAGAACCTGCGATTCCACAACCCAGAGTACCAGTATTATGTAAGTATCCGGGTTGGAATGCCCTGTTATGTCGAATTTTCTCACTGGTGAACCGATAGATATATATATATATATATATTGAAGCCCGCGGTCACGGACGCGCGCTTAAAAGCATATGCTTCAAATGCTCCGGTTGTGCAGTACGCGGAACACGGTAACGGTTTGCTAAAAGTCTCCATCTGACGGTTGTGTCGTGAAGATGTTTTCGTGGAATTAGGTCAGTAAAACATCATCTGTGCTAAAGAACAACAACAACAAAAAATACTCCTTGAGCAGCAGAGTCGATTGCCTCCGTGTCGTGACGTTGGCACCGTCACACCTTAGAGCTCTCGGGCCTTGCCTCTCGGTGGTGTTGGACACGTTCGTGCCGGCGGAGAAGATACTATCTGGGCCTCTTTCCCCTTCGTCGGACCGCGCACCACTAGAACAGCCGGAACGATTCTGTAATCCGTTTCGCCTCATACGATGGACCGCAGAGGACGCTACGTGCCATCGAGCCCGCTCTAATGATTTCTCAGTGTCACTGACCCTTAGTAGCCGGGACGCAGGGACGAGCAAGGGCGTGTAGTCACGGGGTACGTTCACAGCACAGGACTGGCTGGGACGCCTCGTAGTTGTCCGGTGGGGTCTACCGTAGTGTGAAAGAGAGCACAGTGACCTTGTTTACGTCCTCGCCCGCTGACGTAAGGCCACGGCAAGGGGGTCAGGCTTTCTGGAGAGCGTTCGAAACAGCGGAAAGGGTGAAGCGGTCCGCACGTGGCCGTTCAAGGAGAGCATTTTACCATCCAGTCAGTGCTGGTCGTCGCGGCGACTACGGCGAGGGGTGGAGGGACATCGGCTCGGCCGTTCGCCAGCCTCGGAAGTTATTTGCAGGTCGTGGGTGAGTACTGAAAATTGTTTCACGGAACGCGCAGAAACCCCCGTCATTTCGGTGTCCATTTGAGTCAACCAAACGACGTACCAATTCAGTGCTTTTGGTTTTGGGGCATTTTTGACGCCTCCCGGCCAGCATTCAGGGATCCTGCCCGTAAGTGATGACGTCACAACACGGCGCAGCGCAAACCGTTGCTAGGCCCGTTGTTGTGGACAAATGCGAGGGGGAATTTGTCTGATAAAAAGAAATCTAAAATTTTTTTGTATATATTGTGGCTTCTGAATGTCTAATTATGGAGATTTTCTCTGCCGTCTCAGCAGTGGCGTAGGCAGAGGGGGGGTTTGGGGGGTCGAAACCCCTCCCGAAATGCCAAAGCTACCTCCCCCCCCCCCCCAAACGGGGCCCGCTCGCTCCCCTGCTCACGCAGTCGGTTTTACACGAGGCACGGAGCAACGGTGGAGAACGGACCATCTCCAACTTATAGGCTTTCGGAAAAATTGTTTGTGGGGTAGAAAAAGATCAAATTAATAAAATATGCAATATTGCTTAATTCATGTTTATTCGATGGGATGCGGAACTTGATCCCAGATATATAGAGAACGGATATTTCGAAACATTTGTGGGGCGAAGGATGACAAACTATCCTCACTGAAACACAGTTCAATCAAAACAATGTGAACATAATAAAACGAACACACGGTGATAATATAAAATAATGTCAGTGATGTAAGGAATAATAAATGAATGGTAAAAAAAGAAAAAAAAACAATCGCACTGTAAGCAACGGGTGGCGCTGCGCTCACACACACCTTTTGTGATCAGAATTACGTGCTTTCTACTAGAATATACCGCGAATAAAAAGGTAACTGTGACCAGTTATATTAGAATGCAATTTACAGGTTCTCTTTATCATCTCATTTATGCCAAGCGCCTAGACATTAAAATGAAGTCGCCTGCGTTCACGGAAAAAAATATCCCGGACGTCCTCCGCTTCAACTTTAATGTCGCGGTGAACATTCAAAAACGCTATACTTCGTTTCAACTTAGGTCCAGACGTAGCCGATGCTACAAGTGCCAGCTCCGGGCTTTCAACCACGCGCGCTCGTGCAGTGCAAGCACTGTTCAGGGCCACATGTTCACGCCTGTAGCATCGGCTGCGTCTGGAATTAAGCTGAAACGAAGCATAGACCAAGCATCGCTCACTCGAAGTGGACGCTCTCAGGTATGTTTTCAACCGTCGTAGTGAAGAGAACGAGCGCTCAGTTTCCGCCGTTGCAGAGCCACTAGGATCTTGAGGAGACGATGGACGTTCTGAAATAGGGCCTCCGGACAGAGGGCGACCGCCTGTATACCGCAGACGTGACGGGTGCTTCACGTTTCTCTCTCTTGCATTGGACGCCTAAAATTTCCCTATTTTTGGCGAAGTTTCCTTGACTTTGCGAAAATCGTCGCTCACGGATGCGATGAAATCCGTCTGGCTTTCTGCTTTGTATGTCAAGGTGGCATCCGATGCAATACCTTATTACTCTTAGCTTAATCTCTTCGTTTCACGGAACATCAGAAACTTGAAGAGACACGCCTTCATATTCTCACTACGCACAGGCGCAAGGCTAGTCAAGTTCCTTTCCACGTTCGGCGTGTAGTTTCTTTGTGGTGCGTCATGTCATTTCTCCGAGTGACGGAACGACGAGTTCGCACTGATGACTTCTCCTTACCCCGAGGATATGCTGCTGCTGCCTTTGAACCACGCTGCAAGATAAAACGGCCTAACAAAGATAACACTCTCTTTCCTTCAGCATCTGGTTCTGTAGCACGAATTCGTTAAACCTTTATTTGATCATAGAGTTTGGTTTTGTGATTCTTCAGAATTGCCTTCCTTCTAAATATGGGCCCCTGGTGTTTGTGCGTGGTCAGTTGCTCCAATTTTTCAGTGTCGAAAAAAAATTGTTCGCTGTTTAACTTGTTTGTTTGTTGTGAAACTATAGCTATTTTTGTGTTTTGTCTGGCCTTCACCCGTTGGTATTGCAGTGCTACTTCGAAAAGCGGAGGGAGTTGTGTGTTGTGAGGAAGTTTTTAAGGTTGGTGGGCCGCAATTACGACGACAGTAGAACAGTGAGCCACCCCGCCCGTATTCCTGTAAATGAAGCCTGCTCCGTTTTGAAAAACGACAATGCAGCGTTACCCATTTTATCTTAACAGTGCCTCCCTAATCTTTGCCTGAGCGTCCGTGTCAGCGAGCTCACCCTCCGTCATTCAAAGGGGGGGGGGGGGGGGGGGGGGGGGGATGCCGTTAAACCCCTCCCGAAATAAAATCCTGGCTACGCCACTGCGTCTCAGCGTCTCAAAGCGATGATAAATTCTGTAATAAAGCTTCAGAGCCGGTTTTGCCATACAAGCAGATGACACGATGGCTTTGCATGTTTAATGTTTCTTTTTCTGAGGGATTACGCGACTGCTTTAAATTAGGTTGCTGACGAGCGACGAAACTTCTATTCTCGGGGTCAACTTTCTGTTGGGTCTTTGAAGCGAAGAGTGCCCGTGAACGCCAACGCCAGCCCGTGGAGGTTTTCGCTATATCTGAAAAGAGTGAGAACACTGTGAAGTCGAATCACCTACGACGACGACGTAAAGTGTAAAGACGTCGAAGTGCAGGCCAGCACTCGTTTTAAGGAGTTCTGACGGTGCAGAAGTTGCTTCAGTGCACATTTGTGTGATCAAACGAACAGTCCGTAACCTATATATATATATATAACTTACCTGATGTTTTTTTGTCGATCTTCCTCGCTATTTCGGTTTGTACTGAAAACGAAAGAATCTGCAGGATTTTTTCTCAGCATGATGGGTAAAGCAGGAACGAAACACACCCATATTGCGAGCCTGAAAAACCAAGTTCGTAGTCTCGAACCGATCATGTTAGAGTTACGATACAATTCCTAATTACAATGCACGTCAACTGCAAAATCAAAAAGAGGGTCTTATACTGTTTTGATATCCTGTTCTAAACAGAAGCTTCTCTTGCTGTATTTTTAGCAGATCTCGATATGTGTGATGATTTCCGCCATACAGTATATCCTGTATCGTACGCATGTACTGTTTGTTTTTACAAACCTGACTATTTTTCTTAGACCTGCCATGTTCCCAAAAAGTACAAGATCAAAATCGCATAATTATGCAAACGATTCACAATGTTGCAGACGGCATGCTTCAGTCATTCCGTACGCGTTCGTCGTCTGCAACAGTCATCTAGAGACGTCTCGAGGCCCGGAAGTTGCCTTCGCAAATATTTCAGAAACAGCCGATTCTCGGCAAGCTTCTGTCGTGGTAAATTTTAAATTTATGCGTCCTTCTATATCTAATTTTTGTAGACGTTACAATTCCACGTCCTATTTTTGAACGATGTTTCTTTCGGAGTGAAATCTAGTCCCATGTATTCGTCCATAGCAACGCCCGTAGCAACAGTTTGTTTAAAGCTACGTTACTGAAAAACTCAGTTGGGAAACTCACCCCTGAAACCGGGATCGCTCGCGTCCACCGAGACCAAACTGAATACGATAATAGCGCCGCCCTTTGGCGACGAGTCAAAACATTAAAGCTGATTTGTATAGTACTGTGAAATGGCAATGCAAGATGGCGCCACCTTGCACGACTGGACGCCGTGCAGTTCCCGGAGTGGCCGCTGCGGGAGAAATGGCGGCTTTGCAATCGCCTTTAGTTCGGTTCTCGAGTACAGATCGGAGCCAACTGAGTTGTTCTAGTAACGTTTAGAGCAATGACGCCACACTTATTGGGTCAATTCACAACCCTTACCGCTTTGATTTGAGTGAGTACTCCACTAACGTGCGGCCGTGTGTGATCCCTACTGGTCGATGCACGTTTAAGGCCCAAGGCTAAGAGTCATATACTGCACTGGCTAAATTCCTCATCCACGGCCGAGAAACGAGAAGCCCATGCATGCGGGCTCTCTGAATTTCCGCTGTCTTAAACATTCACATATCAAAATTATGATTAAAAAAAAACAATTCTATGGCACTTGAATGATTATTGACGCGCAAGATTCTGCACCGGCAGTGTAAACACGGGCACCTAGCAAATTACTAATGTCTCCTGCGCTTTATCTTCCTCCTTCCATATCCCCCTTTCCTTAGTCAGTTTAGCTTATGGCCAAAATCCGCTGGTAGGTCAGTGGATCGGCTTCTACATACCGCGTGAGAGGAAAAAGCCCGTTGCGTGGGAACGAAACCAAATCGATCGGCGCCGCCGTCTTGCTGCAGGTGTGGGTAGACCGTCTGATAGTCGAGCACTGCTGAGGCGTACTGACGGCTTCAGAAATGCTCGACAATCAGACAATCTACCCACACCAGCAACAAGATGTCGACGCCCAGAGGCCGTACTTGCAAACGTCTATAGATGCGCTCGCAGTTTTGGAGCGGAGCAGACCAAACCAACACTCTGACGTCACGCAACTGCGGTGGCGCTGCTGTCGTCACTGAGCATGCGCAGATGCTTCGCCTCGGGCAAATCAGATTTCTGCGCACGCGCAATGCCCACACCTGGTGTCGGAAAACGCGAACATGTTTGTAAACAGCGCGTTGTCATACATAGCACACTGAAATACATCGTACAAAAGACAGCCAACTGTCTGCAGCCATGCGCTGGGAGCACACATATGTACGAAACGAAGGATCGATCATTCTTGGCACGTGTCCGCACACAATTTTATCATCACGACTGGCGCGAACACCGTGTAATTTGTATTAGAGTCACTATATGAGCTACGCTTAGAGTATCGGTACTCTGTTCCCCGTTGTGGGCGCCGCCTTCCTGGTGCTTGTGCAGAGCAGACGCCACTCCCGATCATCATGATTTAAATGTACGACTTCCTCGGCATTAGATTCTCTGTTAGGAAGCTCATGTAATATTGCTCTGCCCTGTCGCGAACTGTTTAAACATTTGTAGACAACGGAAAAGCGTTTTCTAGGATTTCAGATAAAGCTTGAGATAACTGGCAACCATGATTTTAAGCCACGAGATGGGTAAGTGTCGTTACTCTGAAGCGTTGCTTATTTAGTGGCACTTTTTAGTATGATGAACCGGCATTGTGACGTTGGCTTAAATAATGGGGTTAGCAATACAACCACGTGTTATCCGTAGGCCATGGACCATCGAAGATGGTATCTGCTCGTCGGAGCCGCCTGGACCATCCTCACCTTGGGAAGTTCAACGGCACTCTCTGACGCCGATGAGCCCTGCGGTATCGCTCTAAAACGGTCTCGGAGGGCAGAGATGACCCCAGAGGAACGCTTACAAGGCTGTTTTGAACAAAACGGCTTTGAACATGTGAAATGCGGGGTGAATGGCGCCGCCTTTAGCTGTAAGTATTCTGGTCTCCATTTTTCACATAAACAAACTAACAAAAAAACTAATATGTTTTCAAATTCGTCTATTAACCAGAACGTTTAAACAATAGGCATGCGTGCATCAACCCATTCTCCCAATAGCAAACCATTTGCGTGCGATCTGTTAAAACAAAATGTCGAAGTCGTGTCGTTTCTTGCTGAAGCTGCCGAGATGCGGTGTCAGAAAATACAGAATCGCTTCAAGGCTCGTTTGCACGCTTGCGACTGGTTATGACGGAGTACAACACGGCCTTTTGTATACTGACACCTCACGCCCCTCACGCACTCATGGCCCTCACGCCCCTCAAGCCACACACGCACTCACCGCCCTCATGGCTCTTACGCACCCAAACCCTTCACGCACTCATGGCCCTCACGCCCGGCCCTCATCCCACTCACGCACTCATCGCCCTCCCGGCCCTCACCACTCATACCCCTCACGCCCCTATCGCACTCATGGCCCTCACGCCCCTCAAGCCACTCACGCACTTATCGCCCTGACGGCCCTCACGAACCCATACCCTTCACGCCCCTCACGCACTCACTGCCCTCACGGCCCTCACGCACTCATACCCCTCACGCCCTCAGGGCTCTCACGCCCCTCAAGCCACTCAAGTCACTCACGCACTAACCGCACTCACGGCCCTCACACACTGATACCCCTCACACCCTCAGGGCTCTTACGCCCCTCAAGTTACTCACGCACTAACCGCCCTCACGGCCCTCACGCACTCATACCCCTTACACACTCATGGCCTTCACGCCCCTCACGCACCCATGCCCTTCACGCCCCTCACGCACTCACCGCCCTCACGGTACTCACGCACTCATACCCCTCACGCACTCACGATCCTCACAGCCCTCACGGCCCTCATTCACCCTCACACTCAGGAATACTCCTGGTTCAGAAACTCACCCACCCTTACCTCACCTGTGAAGTTGAGGATGAGTGAGGGTCCTCGTGAGTGAGATTCGCCGAGGTATGATCACAACTTATAAGAAATACTTAAGTGTCCTCAGACTTTCTCATAACTCCCACGATTTTTTCATCTATATTTTATAAAAGCTATAGCAATACATATCTGCTCTATAACACCGATAGAATAACAGCCTTAGCGTAACAATGCTCCATAAATGCATTAAAAAATTCCGTTAAAAGAATGTAGAGATGTTTTACATAATTTATCTAGGCACAAGTGAGAAAAAACGCTGACACTTCTATTGTCTCCGACAGTTTAGGAAACGCGGCGCGTAGCGAGTACTAAACTTCTCATTCAATAGTTTTAGGGAACCTGTTTTGCACATCCGATATCGTACGATGCGCCTTCCGGTACCAACTGCGCGTGTGCGAGTCTTCTACGGTAGCGCATGCAGTGCCGAATTAAGGCATTTGGGAGCCCTGGGCTTAGGCTGTTATGAGGCCTCTACCTATGATAATGGTGGGGGTGATGATGGTGGTGGTGAAGGTAACGATGACGACGGGAATATGTATATTTTTTAAGTTGTTAAATCTAGATATGTTTCATCGTATGATTATTGTCGAGCCTTGTTTAGATCCGTAGATTCAATGGAATTCAAGTTTGCCTTGCTGTCAGTGAGCGGATGCGATTGTTTCGAAGCTACTTTGCAAATAATCAACCCCTCTAGCAATTTACAATATAGTAATTTTGAGATACAAAACTGAAATCAAATAAACATTGCGGAAAATATTAGGATTTGTCGTTCACATTCAAAAACTTAACCACAAAAACAACATAAAAAAACACTAAATTGCTTCTGTTTAAAATGTTGATTGTTCATGAATTTGTTTGACTAGAATTACAGCTAGATTCATAGAGCACATGCCCAGGCCAGTTTACACAAATTGGTCGCAATGTCGACTTGTAGCACAGGTGACCCTCTTGCTAACATGTCGAGTGACATCATTAATCACACATGAATTGAGTGATGCAGCAACCGAAAAGGTACCCGCAAAATTCCCATTCTAATTTCACTTCCCATAAACTAAATGGCATGCCTCGCAAATCGACGACTGCCACGAAAATCTAGAGCCCTTATTCTTGTAATTGTTCCAAATTATTGGAAGTGTTTTAACTTCTAACTAGCCCTCTGTTAATTAATTACTGATGTGAGCAGTGAAGGAAGTGACATAGGCAAGAAAGAAATTTCGTTGTTTGAAGCAGTCTTTATCGGGATCAAACTACTTCGTAAACGCTCTTCTAATTAATAACTGAACCCTCGTTTCGCGAACAAACGCAGACTTCCACATTTAAAGCATAGTAGAAACTGCGTGCGATTCTAAGACATCGACCGCTGTCGTTCGGGCACATCTGCATTAAAAGAATTTATCATGAGGATTGAGATGTTTTCTTTTTGTACCTACACGCTGTCTTTTTGAATGGGGAAAATGTTTCGCGTCAGATTTAGTACTAATCTTGTTCTTTTTAAATGCAATAATTTAGACCTCGGCGGCCATTTTTCTCTGTGACTCAACGTTAAAAAAATAAAAGACTATACCTCAGAGGTTGGTGAAACCATTGCAGTATTCTTATCAGTCGCTGGAAGGAAGAGTGTTCAGTTGCACTGGCAGACCAGATATCGACTCTAGAGCACTTCCTTGCAGTCAGTACCCATCGAAAACTGTTGAGGGGCGTCTTAAGAGCCGGCTCCTTGGAACGCCTTTTTGTTGGTGGCTATAGAGACGGTGTCCGGATGATTTACAGGCGCCTTTTCGCTTGTTCCAAACTTATCGTTCTGAAATGAACCCCATATGGAGTTTCGCGAAAAGGTTTAAAACAACATGTGTGAACCATATTCGTTGCTTACTTGACGCTTGCTTAACTTCCTGCCCACAATTGTCCGTAGAACACCGCTAATGGGGTCTCAGTACAAAAGAAAGCTTCATCACCGTCCTTCCATCAAGCTCCAATTAAAAAAAAAAAAAATCTAACGAGGGGCATGGGAGGCCGTGTTAAATATTGTTGTTCTGGAACGCCTGTTGCACACGGACCTCACAAACACCAGCTGATCTAGAGACGGGAACTTTATGGCATCCTTGTTTCCTTGTTAAGGAAAAGAGAACGAGAAGGCCATTGCGCCAGAGGCTCTTCGGAGTGTTTCTTCTGCTTTCTGCCTAAACTTTCTTAAATAATAATAAAGAAAAAGACTACTATTTTTAAATTTTTAGGGGCCAGCATGGGGCCCCCTGACAGCCTGGGGCCCAGGGCTGCAGCCTCCTTAGCCCGTACCTTAATCCGGCCCTGAGCGCAAAGACGGTTCCCTAAAACTCTCAATAATGTCATCGTGTCTTTTACAGGAGGTTTGAGCAGCGTGCCTTAGGACCGGGGTCACACTGCCTACACATCATACAAAAGACAGTCTGCATGCGAGATCCGTGCTCCGAGGTGGCAATGAGTTCGAGGAGGAAACTTGGGCGCGCGGCGTTCGAACCGCAGGATATTGCGTAGACTCGTGTTTCTGCAGACTGTCTTTTGTGTGGCGCATGTGCAGTGCGACCCCCGGTTTTAGAGTGAAACAAACGTATTATAGACACGCCACTCTCATCCGCGAGCGTATGGGCTGAATCGGGTTCCCGTACCCAGGTCACTCGGTCGGCTACAACCCGGAAATGGCTGAAGCCATCGCCACGGGGGCGGGATTGGCGATCGGCCTCATCATCATCGCCGTCGTCCTATGGTGGTATAAAAGACGAAAGGTGGGTGCCTAAAGACCTTCAACTAGGGTTCCTGGAGCGCGTCTTTGACTGGGTTCGGCGTCCTATGTCGCCCCTACACAGAAAGTGGTCCCTAGGTTTCAACAAATGACGTCACAAAGGTAGACGTGAAAGGTTGTTGGATGTGGCGATCCTGGAAACTAATGGTATAAGTCCCGAAAAAAAAAATGCGAGCATGCGTCATTGTTTTTGTCGTCGCAATGTCCCAACCACTGGCTGCTGAAGCTTCAGTGGAGTGTCAAGCTGAAGAATGACCTGCAGCAGAGCAGGCGTCTGCCGCATACATCTCCGCTGCTGTAAAGGGCCGCCCACACTAGCGAGAAAACGCGCCCGGCGCGCCGATAAATCGGTTAAGCGGCAAGATAAAGGGCGTGTGTCTGCACGCGCTCGTGGCGCTGACTGTGCTTCGGCGACATTTTGTTACTTGCCGCGATCGGCGTGCCACGCGCGTTTTCTCGCTAGTGTGGGCGGCCCTTAACCCTCCACACGAACCGCGGCCCGCGACGTGACACTTTTATTACCTCACCAGACGGAAATCGAAGAACCAGTTTTTAGGACGATGTAAGCACACCAGTCGGAGACACATTCCAGGCATCGCATACCATCACCCGAGGTCTTTGGGCATCGCGTGTGGTGCAAAACATAAGCTCGCGATTATTGAGACCACCTCCACATTTACGACCATGTCACCCGGTGCGCACCTACGGGGAGCACTGTCCCCTGAATATGCCGATATAGTTTCGCCCGGTACCACTAGATGGGGGCGCCATAACTCAGCTGTTTATGGCGTGCTGGAAATGCTTGGAGTAATGGGCTTGTGAGCGCCCGGCGCGGCCGCAAATTGTTTATGAAAGCTTTTGTTTCGCCCTATTTTTTAACACGGAATCACAGAATGAAGGACGCTACTCCTAAAGCACCCACTAGAAAATAGGGAGAAAAAACGATTTTTATTTTTTATTTTGTTTCAGGGTGTCGTAAAGCAAGTCGTGTAACCGAGCCAATAAACAGAGCGCCATGGAACTTTTCACAAAGGTGTGTCTAGATGGTGCATTATTCATATTTAAATTTCGCTAGTGTAAATTCGTAAGAAAACATGCAAAGAAATTAAAAAAAAAAATTTATGCCCGGGAGGAAAACAGAAGCAAACCGTCGTGTTAACACTGCTACTCGTGTATGGTACGACACATGATCGGATCTTCTGGATATGCTTCAGGGTGTTAATCTCTAAGAAGCTTTCAAGTTTTTGTATCATGTGGTGCCATATATGAATAGCTGCGTCAACCCGACAATTTGCTTCCCTCTTCATACCGCGTATGGGAAAAAAAGTTGTTCTTTTGCATTTTTCTTTTAAGAACCCACAAACAAGTTTTAATATGATCGATGATCCACCAAAAAATCATCAGCCATTTTACCCTGTGAAGGTGGGTGACCAGCGAAGCTGTTTAGTACACGACACAGACCTGACACAAAATTTTGAACAAAGGTACGAACTATCGCCGCCCCGAGGAGCTGGAGAAAACCAGACACGTGCGACGGGGCCGCCACCCGGGAGAGCGGAAGGAAAGGAAACTAGACACGCAAGCGCTTGGAACGACGACAAAAAGAGTGCGGTGCGAGCGTAGACATGGCTAAAGCCCCCCTATCGGTTGCACAGCAGCAGATCTTTGAGAAACCTTAATTATCTACCCGAGAGTCTACTGACCTTGGAAATGGTGCCTATTAATAACTAGTCTATTGAAAATGCATATCCAAGTGATTAGACGTATAAGCTTTTGTATAGAATGAAGCGATTTTGCATGAAATACGAGACCTGAGGTTTTGTTGACGTACACGAAAAATCAACAGAACGCTAGCTCCGTTGTAAAGCACCTTTGTGAAAAGTGTCGTGGCACTCTCTTCCGTGGGTTATTTATACGATGTTTTACACCCCAATTGTCACAAGAACACGCTATAGATTGGGAGATAAACAAAGAAAAAACATACGCGTCTTAGGAGTTTGCGTTTAATCAAAATTTAATTAAATCAGTGTTCCGAAGATTCTGCAATGAAACGCACATGTTCACTGCCCATGCACTCTGCACCAGAAACTATGGGCAGGCTTTCGAGAGGAAGGCCCGTGCCAGCTAGCGCTCTAGTGCACGCGGGTTCTCTGCCCAATCGCCTCCAACCGGTTATTTCTGAAAAATGTAGTAGACTTCGGAATTTCTCGATTTGCGGAATCCTAAAGAGGTCTGATGGACTAAGCCTAATGAACTCAGCTGATGGACTCAGGCTGGGTTTTTAGGTGTGTGTGTGTGTGTGGGGGGGGGGGGGGGGGGGGTGAAGAGAAGGATGGAGGGGTGTAAACATTTAGAAAAAAACCCGAGACTGGGACATTAAGGGGCGGACGAACACAGAGTCTCAAACGCAGCTGAATTTTATTTGAGAACGAAGGGTGCTTATATAGGCGTCAAATCTTGAACAAATCAAAAGAGACGAAGGAAAGAGAGGGAGAAACCTACACAACACAAAAGAGACGAAAGAAGGAAAGGGAGAATTGGGGATACCCGTGCCGCAAGCAGTACAACAAAAAAAAAACAAAAAAAACAAGCATTACAATAGAACTGAGAAGTGGTGAGATCGTTTATACAAAAACAAAAGCAAAGTAGAAGGACCAAAGTGCAATTAGTCCTCAAGAAACCCCAACACTATAACAGGAAGGACGCAACGAACAAACGACCAAGAAACAATAAAGCGAAAGGACTTAAAATCGGACAAAGGCCTCAACAGAACAATTGACAAGACGAGCAGACATCAAATTTGTAGGAACTTTCTTCGTTCTTTATCTATTGTGAGGGATGGCTTATTTACCGCATTCCCATGATTCATGAAATAAAATTACTGTTTTCAGCTGTACTGTATTTCGACCAACTTTTAAGGTGTACGCTATTATCGCAACATTTGCATCTTTCTGCAGATTCATGACGAAACCGACGTAATGCAGACACAGGTATAAAACTCACCGTGCTCTACAGGGTGTTTATATAAAGAGATAAACGTTGTTTTCCACTGCGAAAATAAATTACGCGCTGACGGTTGGAACCAGATGCTAAAGTTACGAAACTCACCGTTATCTAACTTAAAAATTATATATATATATATATCAGTGTGTCGAACCGAAAAAATACGGGTTCGGTTACGGTTCAGGTTCAAGTAAATTTATTTTGTTCCGGTTCAGTTCCGGTTCGATTAATTCGATCCGCGAACCCGTTCACCGGTTCGCGAACCGATTCGGAAATTATAAATGACAAATTGCAACATCAAAATAAATTACAAATAAAACATCTGAAATCAGCACATACGAAACGGGATACATCGTAGTGTAAGGCTCAGGGATTTCTACCAGGAATGGTTTCTTTATGTGCACCCAAAGGTTACCTCACCGACGTTTACGCATTCGGACTTCATCTAATCGGGTCCGACGCAGTAGCTGTAAAATCCGCGACCTCCTTACAAACCCACTTACAAGTAGAACTCGCTAACTATCCCGCCACCTCGGCGTGTAAGCAATTGAAGGAACAGTGGGGAGAAAATACAGCTTTCTTTATTTGAACTAGCCTTCGGTAACTCAAATTAGACCCTTAAAGAAGTTTTCATTAAACAAGATACGGAATATGAAAAACACTTCACCGAACGAACGCAACGCCAGAAGGACGTAATAGGATAAATATTAAAATAGAAGAGTTCGCTGTCTCACAAATATGTTAGCTTCTAAGTGCCTATACGAAACCGGCTGCATTATTATCAAACTCCACAGCCTTTTCTTTTCTCATTCCGATGGAAGCAAGCTTCAAGAACTTGCGCGTTCTACAAACGTGTTATGAAATGAGCCGGAGGCTATGAATGAGCACACAGCAGCATTTAGGATTTACGAGATTGTAGGAAAATGAAATCCCGTGACGCGATTTTTTCTTTTTTTTTTGCACAGCCTTCCAATTCTCTTTTTTCCGTGCAAGCCGCGACCAGCGTAATACTGGTTCCTATGTCAAGATTCATGGATGCAGCGTTTATATTCCTAAGACTGAGTGGAGAAGAAAAATATGTAAGCGAGGTGTGTGTCAGTTGACGGCACTTAAAAAACAAATGGCATTGATAGCACATTCATTGTCAACAGCGCGTGGCCGAACCGTTTTGACGTGAGCCGGTAACCGTTATTTTTTTTTCCGGTTCAGTTCCGGTTCGAGTTCATCGCGATAACAATATAACGGTTGGGGTTCGGGTTCAGTTCCGGAAAAAATACCGGTTCGGTTCCGGTTTTCGGTTCGGTTCGGTTCCGGTTCGACACCCTGATATATATATATATATATATATTACAATTTTGACGATGATAAATTGAGCGCGTTAAACATAGCAGACACCTCACATACATGTATGTGCGGACTCCGTAGCCACCTTTTCCTCGTGGAGAATTTACGAGAATTGCTTATGGCCTTTGAATTATATATAAAGGCAAGTTCTTAAACATTGCCGTCAGCTCCGAACGTGAGACCGAGCGTTCCGACACGCGCAGATTATTTTTGCCGTACGGAAACCACGGTGCGCTTTTCTCCTCAACCCACGATATGTTTACAATAGGTGCCACCATGGTCTGGGGATGCAGGTGCTTTAAAAGTATTGAAGCAACACGCAAATTTGATAAAAACAACACGCAAATTTGATAAATCCGTGCGAAAGGCATCCGAAAAGCATACAACTGACGTGAACAGCGGAGGAGCGGCTGAGATGCACCGCCATCTCTCGGAAGGAGTGCAAGGCGGGCTCAGTGGCACTCTCGGGTGACATGGTCGCATACCGCGAAGCGTCTCCATATGTACCGCCGCAAGACAGACCCCGGATGCCCAACTTGTGGTGATCCTGAAGACACAACCCATGCACTACGTTTGTGTCTAACCCATGAGGATCTCCGAAAAGTGCTATTGCGATCCTACGCTGCAGTTGGACTTCCCCACTCCACTGCCCAAGAGCTTTTGAACCCCAGTGGAACGCGGGGAATAGTTGAAAAGGCCTTTCGTGCTCTCCTCCAATATCTTTGCAGACACAAAACAAAAACTTACACAACGGATCTAGGACAAGTATTCAACGTTTAAATTCGCTTATGCGAGTGAATAGGTAGCACAGCAAGTTTGCGGCATTCTGATCTAGTGCGGAGCCGAGATGGGAACCTCCGCGGTACATTGACGGACTTTGCCATCTCGGATCGGCACTGCGATAGGAGTGGATGCTATCTTCCTGCTCGCTGTGGGGTCATTTTCTCACAAGCCCAATTCTAAACAAGCCCGTTGGCTTTTGGACTATAATGCATCAGATATTCAAACTTGTACATAACCATTTCTTCTTCCTCTTTCCTTTATTTACCCATATACCCAAAAAGCCAGATAGCGACTTGCCTCTGACTGGAGGCCCACATATCTCCTGGCTCCCCCGCTTTCTCTTCACCCCAAAATAAACAACAAACAACAACATGGTCGCAAGTGCAGAGGAGATCGGGGTGATTATACCCAGCAGTGCCAAAAGTGCATCGTCATGGCGCTCGTCGTTTTTATGTGTCTGCTATCACAAACTAAATCAATCCCACGCAGTGAATCCTCTGCGATGCAGACAATTATCTGAGTCCCTTCGGGCACGAACTCTAAGCGTGTATTGGACACGAGAGCAGCGTCAGCGTTCGGAGAGGACTCGGATCCAATCACACGCTTCGTGCCCGAGGATGGATAGATGGATGTTGATGGCTATACCCTTTGTAACGGGCGGTAGCTTGCGCCACCTAGCCTAAGTCTAAAAATGGCTCCCACCCATGTTGCTTAATGGGGTTTTGAAGAAAGGGTCTGTTGGACCAGATAAAATTGTGAGTTTAATTAATGATTGCATTTTTTCGTGTTTTCTGTCATGTTTTAGAGGCGGGAGGCTGGTAGAATCTAGGCGCCACATACATCGTGAGTGCAGCCTGCCAAGGGAAAAACAGCCATCGGATCAAACAGCCAACATCGGATGACACGGGCAGCAAACTTCACAAGATGTGAGAAACGCATCGACGCGGCCCACCTATTTTCCACCGTCATTACGGCAAGCAATGCCGGGAAATAAAATAAATGTGAGCATTAAAAACTTCAGTGGCTCCCTATTGCCTAAATGGCGCCATTGAGCACGTGCTTTGATCCATCCACGAATTCGTGAGAATGTGCATGCTCTTTGGATTTGGGTATAGATCCAGGATTCGGGAAGAGGGCTGTGGGAGAGAAAATCGTTGAAGAAGCGGATGAGGACGGGGCGGGGCGGAGGCTGTCTGGTCCAGGGCAATGAGAGTAGTTGACACGGGCAAGGGCTTCGTAGGTTTGAGTTGAAAGAATGACTATGGAGAAGAGTGTGGGTTGCTGGTGTGGCCTCGACTGGCAAAGTTGTGGGTTCGGGGACAAAGGTGATGTGGTCCAGGGTCGACTAATGCAGCAGCCTGGAAAACGGGGTAAGAAAAGAGCTCGGCTATGTCGTCAGGGCTTGAGTAGGGTGTGCCGTGATGTGTGAAGACCGGCGCTTGGGACATTTTTCGTTGATGGTGAAAATATGCCCAAAAGAGTTCGCGTTGGCGGGTGTTTTTTGCTGCTAGTTGCTGTAAATAATCGTTATGGGAAACACGGATGAGATGCTTGACTTCGGCACGGGCTTGGTGGGTTAGGTTAATACGACTGGGATTTTAAATTTCTGCATTTTCTCGAATAGCTCGTGGTTACGTCTGATTAGGGCTGCAGTCTCTTTTGTCATATATGGAAGGCCGCCGCGCCTCCTGTTGGCCCTTAAGGTTAACTCATTCGTGCTGAATCGCTGACATCATGTCGAGCCAGAGGTCGTGGGCCTCGTCAGCCAATAGGTCATCAAACACGATGGACCAGGGAGCGAAATGGATGAGCTGATTAGGATGAGGGAAAATGTTTTTTATAACTGCTGGAACTTCTTGGTTTGATGATTTCGCTAAGGGGCTGAGCAGTGGATGTTGGTGAGGAGAGCACTGTGATCACTGCCTGGTAGGCTGGATATGACTGTGCAGCAGTGGGATAAGGTGGTATTATTGGTGAGGGCGAGGTTGAGGAAGGTAGCGTGGCTGTTCCTAGAAATGTAGGATGGGGCGTCACAAAGTTGGGGGAGGCCAGCAGTTTCCAGTACGTCTAACGGCGTGCCATTGAGTGCATCTGAAGGGATGGGAGTGTCAGGTTCGGACCAGTTAATGACACTCTTGAAGTCACCAAAGATAAACAGTGGAGAGAACCTGCTAGGGTCGATGCGCAGTAGGCTCCCTTGGAGGTGGGCGTACGATTGTTCACGTAGGGACGATGGGCAATAGGTAGACGCCATAAGAAGCTGTCCATGTTTGCAAAAGGCCTCGACGGAGATGGCTTCTAGACCCGGAGTGGTGAGGTGGTCAAGACATCAGCAGGTCAGGAGTTTTGGCACAGCAAGGAGGACGTCGCCAACAGTTGAAGGGCGGTCTTGCCCAACTACAGTGAATTGCGTGAGATTAATTAATTGTCCATCAAAGACTGAGACGTCCAGCCATTTTTCGCATGTACGCAGCGAATACTGTATTTTAGAAAGATGACGCCAGTGCATTAAAGTCAGGTAGCTTGTTCTTTAGAGAGCAAACGCTGGAAAACCAAACAGAAATCATGTTTGGCGGCGCAGGAGCGCTGCCGGCCGCGGAGTTGTCGTGCGAGCGATGAATGCCATCGACGTCGTCGCTCGCTGAAAGCGGGTCGGAGAACTGCTTGGAAGAGCTGGTGAGGATGGTGGGGTATACTCAGGGGCTCCGTGCTGCTTGAAGAGGGGGGGGGGGGGGTGGAGTCGAGTTAAAAACGTCTTTATTTAATGCCAGACATGGCTGCTCTTGCTTTAAAGCATCCGCAGTGCAAAAATAAATAATATTAGTAATAACTTTTCACACAGCCGCGCCCGAGAGCGGCCGACGGCCGTTTCACTATGGGACGCTCCAAAACGTCGCCAAATGCTCCAAAGCGCGACCGTGCGATGGGATTATTGAAGGGAATTTGCAGTCACCGATGGGCCATCGGCGCAAGAGCCCCGCTGGTCCGCCGTCCGCGTAAAAGAAGTGGCAGAGCTGATTCCACAGGAGCCGCACTGTTGGCAGCGGCTTGTCTTGTGGGATCACCCAGTCCCCAAAGGTGTTAGGTTGGTCTGCTACCGGGATGTCAGCCAAGGCCTTGAAGCAAGCCGCAGCGTGCTCGGGGCACTCCCAGATAACGTGCTGCGTCGTCGCAAGGGTGTTGTCTGCTGTACAGTAGTCTTGCTGCGGTTCATCTTGAAATATGCGGTTGCGGAGGGCTGGCAGCATAAGGGTGTTCGTGGCGGTACGGCAGACGAGAGTCTGGGAAGAACCTGGAGTTCGGCAAGTTGGTACATCTTAGATTCGAAAAGCGCCAGAAAACAAGGACCACAGAAGGAATAGACGAAACGAAGCGCATCGTTTCGTCTATTCCTTCTGTTGTCCTTGTTTTCTGGCGCTTTTCGAATCTGAGAGTCTGGGCCCTCCGGCTCACTCCTGCTGACTTAGGGGTATCATTCTGTTGTGCCTGTTGAAAAGGGAGGCCGCAGTCCTCAGGTTGCGGAATATTTTCTTTCGCTCCAGCTTGGCGAGCGCAGCTCTCTCAGTGAGGTCTGGCTGACTGTCGCCGGGTTGCGAAGAATCAAAATGGGGCCCGCTGTAGATGGTGGGTACGATTGGCGCGGAAGGTTTGCTCAGTGCTGCACGCGCCTCGTTATGGGCCCATTCGTTTCCCCGAATACGCGAGTGGGCGGGTACCCAGACGACACGGAGTTGAGTGTGGTGGTTGGTATGCAGGTGGGACGCGATGCCGTAGATTTTGTGCACGCGGTCGCTGGTCGACTTGGATGCGTGGCGGCACTCCGAGTAGCCCACTTGCGAGTCTGTGTAGATGGTGATGTTTGTGGTTGATTTTTCTGAGTGGTTGCGTTCAGCATGATGGGCAGCTTATACAATGGCTTCTAACTCGGCTTCTAACTCCTGTGGGGAGCCGCTGGGACCACACATCAGGCTGGGTAATGTTAACCCACTCAGCCGACGTTGGGTGTGCTCCCTGGGCAGGAACGAGGCCGCTAGCAGCGTCCGTGTAGTAAACGACGTGTCGTCGTAGGTCCAGGTCAGCAACGTGCCGCTCGTGCGCCCTGGCATGATACGCCCGTCGCTCTGGATGGTCGGCGTCCATGCGACGTATTAAGGGAGCGTCAGCTGTTTAGGTGTGTGCCTTTCCCAGGGTGTTGGTGGCAGCGGCGGAGGTTTTGATGTGGACGATGGTAGGCGCCTGACCTCTTGGAGAATGGCCTGACCTGCCTTGCTACCCAACAACCGAGTGAGCTGTGCAGACATGAGTTGTTCAGCTACATCCTCGAGCTTGTTGAGATTTTCATGATCGTATACACGTTTGCATGAAAGGCTCCTGTGCGCTGCCATTTTGAGCGATGCTGGCGCCCCGTACCGTTTCCGCCATGCTGGGGTGCGCCAGGGGCACGTCAGTGGGGTGCGTGATGACAAGATGGTGCCGTTTGCTGCATCGCCGATGGCTAACGTTAGCGGCACTGTCTCGGAACGCAGGAGGAGGTATCCACACAGAATCGCAGCATCACATTATGTAGGACGGGGCATCTTTAAGGGTTGGAGCTGACTCTATAACGATCGCAGCCTCTGTTCCTGCACGTCGTGGAAGCCAGAGCTGCCGGAAGCGCAGCTAACGTTGAGCGCAGCCATCGTTGATGGCTGCGCTCAACGTTGAGGCAGCCATAGTTGTAGCCGTGGTGCACCTTTGAGGAGAAGAGGGCCAGGACGAGTTGTCTGGTCTCTTTTTCTCCTGTGCCCCACGGTGCTGTTGTTGAAATGTGTGACACACCAACGACCGTGTTGGGCAAAAGTGTAAACCAATTAACAAGGGAAGTCATCGAAGCCGAGAACATCATACGATTAGAGGACAAATGTTTTAGATACGCCGTCAATAAAATTATCACACAAAGAGATTTATTATTTAGCCGCAAATTAGCCTAAACGTTAGAAAGGTATTTTTTATTTTTATATTTTGTCGTTTTCGATTTGCAAATCGCCTCAAATTGAAGTAAAAGTAGAAGCCAAAGTTGAACACGCAATACAAAGTTTTTAGTGAACGCTGAGTGAGAGTTGTGTTCCTTGGGTTTTTTGAGCGCTCTAAACGTCGACAAACATGTACAGCCTACTCGCCCAATCTGAAGTTCTAACAAAACAAGGAATCCGTCAGAACAGCCAGAGAGTACGTCGCGGTGTCGGCGTGGCAGCTGGCTGGGGCGAGAGTGAACGTGCCTCGTGCTCAAGATTCCGAGTGAGTCGGCAAACTCACACACGACTCCTGGGGCCCTGTGTTGCACGTTTTGGGCTCCCACGGCGACTACGGAGAAGGAAGTGACGTCAATAACGCAGCAAATGCAGATTGGATGTTGACTGATCTCTCATCGATCAACATCCAATCTGTGTTTGCTGCGTTGTTGACGTCACTTCCTTCTCCATAGTCACCGTGGGAGTCCAAGACGTGCAACATAGGGCCCCTGATCTACTACAGTCCGCATTTCGAACATTCGACCTAGAATGACCGCTACTGACTAGGCAAGGTCATTCTAACCTCCTTATCTTTTACACTCGGGGTAAGAGTAAACACGAATTTTCCAGATGTAAGGAGAAGCGTTCCTTCTTGTTCATGCACGCGGCAGTATAACTTACCCGACGTTATTATCCAGCGCCTTCGCTACTTGGGGTCTTACTTTAAAACTGAAGAATCGGTAGGATTTTTTCTCAGTGTTATGATTAAAAGCAGGTACAAAACACGCACTCATATAGCGAGCCGGAAAAACGAAATTTGGGGTCTCAGACCACTCTTGTTGGAGTCGAAATATTATTGCTCCTTCATAACAACGCACGTCAACTGCATAATAAAAAAGGCCCGACGCTGCTCTGATGTCATGTTCTAAGCAGCTGCTTTTTCTCGCTGTATTTTTTCGCAGATCTCCATGCGTGTGATGATTTTCGTCAGACAGTATCGTATTGGACGCAAATACAATTCATTTTTATAAACCTCGTGAGTTTTGAGGCCTGCCATCTTCCAAATAATTACTAAATCAAAATCCTATCATTGCCCAAACGATTCAAACTGTTGCAGATGACATACTTCACTCATTCCGTGTTTGTCCGTCATGAGTTTGACTCCTGCAGCAGGCATCGCGACACGTCTCGTGCACCGGACGTTTTCTTCGCAAATATTTCAGAAACAGCCGATTTTTGGCAAGTTTCTCTCGTGATAAGTGTTAACTTCTAGATTCTCTATATCTATAATTTTAGACGTTTAAATTCCACGTCCGATTTTTGACCGATCGTCCTTTCGGAGCGAAATTCAGTCCCATGTATATCCGTCCACGACAACT